AATCATTAAACGTTTTATTAAAAGAGGTTATGACCCTACTATTTTAAGACATACTGCATGTTTAGTGTTCAACCCTTTTACAGTTGGACACTACGCTTTCCTCTTTTGATTGCATCTGACGGACCAAGTGGGAGACTCTATGATGGATAGTTCGTAAAGCCCTTTGGGACTGAATTGTCTTAATGTTCGTCTTCTGCCTTGCTTCGTCGGGCCCTTGTAGGTGATTTTCTTGTTGCTCTGTCTTCCTTTAGGACATTGAGTACTTTTGTTATGGTCATTGGGTTTACTTTTATATGTTTCTACATGATCATTTTAGTGTTTTACTTATTTAACCTTTTGTAACCATGACAACTGTTAGAATTTCACTTGGCGGGGATTCATTTTATTTACATTGTCTCGTTTATAGGAACATGGTGGGCTAAGAGCGAGGTTTGGTGAACGCCGCCGTTCATTGAACGCCGAACGTTCATTGAACGCCGCCTTTCCTTGTCGATCTTGTTTATCATATTTGGTGCACCATTAACCGGTTTAAACTCCCCAGCAGTCATTATTATGCTGCTGACCGTTCCAAGGCGGCGCCCCACTGTGTTCCTCAGATGTATGTCTATGTTGTTTCATACTGTTTTGGTGACACTTTTGCTTGTGTCCCTTGTTGTTTTCTCGTCTACGGTAAGTATCTTCCCCATTGCCTCTAGTTTTTGTTTCTTTGATTAACCCCCCCCCTTCCCCCGGTCTCTTTCCCCTTTGTGGGCCTATTATTATTTTCTTTGAATTCCTAATCAGTTACAAATTATTTATCATTTAATGATTAACGTGTCTTTGCCCTGTCCTTTTTTTATGTTTGGGGTCCGCCTAGGCTCCTTGCCATTGGGTTCTTGTTGCTTGGTCATATGGGGGTTGCGTTCATTGAACGCCGCCTTTCCTTGTTGATCTTGTTTATCATATTTTAGAAAACCGGGCCTTACGTAAAGAAAAAATCCAGGAACTTGTAGAGGCACTACTGTGTCACATTGAATGCCCCATTAAAACCGCCGTATGAACACATCTGCGGATGTTTTTAAATTCAAAATTACACCATTTTCGTGTTTTAATGTTGAATTCTGCTTAAGCCGGTGCTACGGGGCGTGGGAATGTAACTTGCACTTTACAGTACCGTAATGTTTTCTTTGGTCTCGATTATACCACTGTGGTGATTTTTTTACTTTCAAGGAATTTATTTCCTATTTCAAGAATTGATTTTCCATTTATTTCCTATTTTAAGAAACCGCCTCCGTGGTCGAGGGGTTAGAGTCGATGACTTCTAATCCAATTACCTCTCTGGCATGGGTTCGATCCCCGGGAGATGCTTTGGTAGTTTAGCGCGGAGGAAGGTAGTCTAGTACTGGTGTAACTCTCCAGGAACGATGGTTAGGAAACTACCCGCCTATATGACTGAAATACTGTTGAAAAAGGCGTAAAATGAAACAAACAAACAAAACCTATTTTAAGAATTGATTTTCCAGGACAGGCAGTTTCAATAGGAGCATTAGTAATTGGTGACATTGCATTTTCTACCTTTGTTGTGCAGGGAGCAAACTCTGATTGGTATATCTCTGCTGGAGCAGTTTGGTTATCACAAATGACCTCAGGATTAAAGGGATATATCCCAGCTTTCTTAAAAGAACTGACAATGTTGTCAGGGGCAAAAGTCTTAATTTTACCAGTTCATGTTAAATGTTGAATTCTGCTTAAGCCGGTGCTAGGGGGCGTGGACGGTAACTTGCACTTTCCAGTACCGTCCATGAACAGGCTCAATCAAACCGAGCCTGCAACATTTTCAGTTTTGCCGTGTTGGGCTTTCTTTAGGGATTCTGTATTTATCTATTTTAGCATATGGCCTTGCAGTCGGTTTTTCTACTTCATATCTAGAAATGTACCTTCCTTGGTTGGCATGCATATACAATTTACATTCACTATAGAAGTGGCGCTTCATTTGACCAAATATACCAACAACAAGGGGTTGAGTGAGACGCAATCTTTGCTCGAATAAGAGATAACTTCTGCGAGACCTCGACACCTAGCTAATGCGCATCATTGAACGCCGCCTTTCCTTGTTGATCTTGTTTTTCATATTTTCTATTTTCATTTGTATGTATCCCTCTATATGTGTAGTTGGTATGCTCTGGACAAAATCTCTATATTTATCACCTTAAGTGACCTTGACCTTGTAATATATATATATATATATATATATATATATATATATATATATATATATATATATATATATATATATATATATACATATACATGAACCTTAATTGCATGTTTCACAACCGTAGTCATGCTAATGACCATTTATGTTTCAAACACTCAATTAATGATGACTTAAGCCGGTGCTAGGGGACGTGGACGGTAAACTTGCACTTTCCAGTACCCCGTCCATGAACAGGCTCAATCAAACCGAGCCTGCAACATTTTACAATTTTGCCGTGTTGGGCTTTCTTTAGGGATTCTATTTTAGTGGTCGGAATACTCATTTTCATATTTTTATCTAAACTTTAACCCCTATGTGTGACTTTGACCTTGGTCACAGGGACCTAAATTTCATGGGACACTCGGTCTTACAATGTTGAACATTTGTGCAAAATAATATTGAACTCACTTTATGCACGGTGAAGTTTTGCTCCGGACAAGCGTTTTTCAATGACCTCTAAGTGTGACCTTGACCTTTGACCTAGAGATCTGGTTCATGTGCGCGACACTCCTTCTCTAAGTGGTGATCATTTCTATGAAATTTCATTACAATTTCTCAATGCTTGTAGGAGATATGCCCAGCCGCCCACCGGAGGGGGCGGGGGAACTATAATACCACCCGTTTTTCAAATAGGCGTTAAAAAACGTTTCATTATGTTGTGTTATGTGTTCTTCGAGGGCTTAAGTTTGAATGAACATACTTAACAGGAATAATAATCAACATCACTGTGAAACACTGCACTGTGGATGTTTTTGTTCGAGTTATTGCCCTTGATTTAGTATAAATTTGCATTTTTCAACTTGTTCAGGCATAGCTAAAAAAGTATTTGACCTGTACGCCTGAAAGTTTACAAGAATGTTGGTTAGCATGTGTTCTTATGCACCTGGAATTATTCAGTATTTGTAAAGTTCTTGACTTATGACTTAGCAAAATAATTTTAGCTTTCAACTTGAATTATGTGTAGCCGAAAAATGTTTTTGACGTAGAGTCATGAGATTGACAAACAGTGAAGTGTGGGGGCACCCGTGTCTTATGAACACATTTCTAGTTTGGTCATTAGGTCAAAAGTCAGCCACAATAACCTGGCAATATGATTAATTGGCTGCCGATAGGCGGCATACATGTTTAACAAGCATATCTTGTATAAAGGGGTTCCCTTTTGAACGAAAATATATTTCTTAGGAAATTAACAACATTATTGCAGACTGACAATTGCAAATTTTAGTGTTGTTATATTTTTCTGGTCCTTCGGGATCATTGATGCCAGCACTATTAAGTGTTGAGAATTGAGTACCGCTCAAGCCGGTGCTAGGGGGCGTGAGGGATGTTGCACGTATTCAGTATCCCTCATGTACAGACTCAATCAAACCGAGTCTGCAATTCTCTTGTAATTTTGTTGTGATTAATGCTTCCGAGGGATCACTTTGTTTCCAGATTTTTATATTTCTGTTTTGGGAAAAAGTGTTTTTTTTCCTGCTAATTCAAACTTTTTGTACCTTGTATCTTTTAGATTTGTACCAGTCCTTGTTTTCATTTGCCTTTCCGTGTCTAGAATCAAATATTCCTCTCTTTGTTTGGTCATTAATTTCCAGATGTTTATCTCCCAACCTAAGATGATGGATGTCCTCTCCAGCACTCGTCCTAAAATATGTTGCATATCGGCCAAAGATAATGAATACGAGTATGTGGATTGTCGTCGCCCAGCGTTTAACTTTCGTGTATTTTATTTAAGTGTTATTCTTGTAAAGGTTCTGCTAGTTTTGGTTTGTTGCCATATCCCAAGCTTTTCAGTTGTTTTTGTTTTCCCTTAAAATAGATTAATACAGAATCCCTAAAGAAAGCCCAACACGGCAAAATTGAAAATGTTGCAGGCTCGGTTTGATTGAGCCGAGACCATTATTAATTTGCAGATGAACAGGCTCAATCAAACCGAGCCTGCAACATTTTACAATTCTGTATTTCTCTATTTCAATTTTATCAATGACTGACATTTTAGAACTTTTTGACTAGATATCTGTCAATGGCGCCGACGAATCCTCTAAAAGTAGTTGGTACATATTATTTTCCATCTGGTTGCTTACATTAAGCAGATATACACAAAGATATGTCTTCAAAATCTGGTGGAATAAATTCGGCCTTTCTTAATTCATTTTTGGAAGGAAATTTTTTCAAAAAAAATTTCCTTTCTATAGTATCGGTCTGCCTATATTGAAAAGAACGAACAACACCTAATTGAATTCTGTTTAAGCTCAATAGAAAATAAGTAGTTAATGCGACCAAGAAAGTAGTGCAGCAGAACTATATGTATACTTTCAAACGTGGATGACTTGAAGAAAAAGCTGATGTTCAAAAAAACTTGAAATGATGATATTCAATGTTAGCTTACATCAATGGACCATAATCTTAAACATGTACGGAAAAAAACATCAGTATTATTACGCATTAGGCCAAAGAAAAGTTTGTGTCCATGTACCTATGTACAATAAATTGAATATAAATAAGGTGTAATTTTGTAGCAGAGATGCTGAAAAGTTCACATATATAAATCAACCGAAGGAAATGAAAGTATTTATTGTATATATTTAGCAATTTATTGAATAGCATTTTATGCCACCGCTGATTTTTTTACGTCGATAACTCAAGAGGAAACAATGGATACAATATGTGGCCTTAAAAAGGCGTTCTGTGCTGTACGATACTATTTTCGCAAAAAAATGGTTCGCAAACTATCATAGAATCAAAGCGTTTTGAAACAAAAATATTATTATATAAATAATAAAAAACAAGATTACAATACAAGTCTTTCAAAAGTATTCTGGAATTAACGGATGCAATTTGATAAAACTTGGTGTTGACTAATAAGTAGGGCACACCCGCCATTGTTCGGACCATCGACAGAAAAACGTTCGTGTTTTTCAGATTTCTCCATCCAAGACATAGATTTGCTGATGAATAACATCGCAAAGGTTTGTGGAAATGCTTTTATTTCTTTGTTCAAAATCGTTTTGTGATTGCAGATGTTAATTTGTTAGACAAACGAAATTAGGTCAAGGATTGTTTACATTATTGAATTTACAGGTAAACTCGGCCCGATACCAACTCGGGACAGGTCAACTCGGCCCTCTATTAAAACCATATATTAGGATATAGATTGTTTAGTTAATAACATATTGTTTGAAATTATCTTTAAGATAAATAATCTTTAAGATTAGGAGAAAATATATATATGTTCATTCTTTGTAAGAATGTTAGAAGACTTGCAAGTTACCGACTTTATCATTGCATTTATTTATTATTGAAAAAATGCTGAACAGCTAGTCTCAACAGTGTTTATAGGCTAGAATTTTCAGTTTGCATTAGGGCCAAAATTATTAAATATATTGTAAGTCATGACGGCTTTCCCATTGCTGTCATCAAACTTTAACCTTGTTCATAACTTTTTCAGATCTTGGTGTATTGTCTTCATACTTGGCCACAACAACCCTTCAAATAGACCAGACTAAACTAAATTAACTTGACCACCATATTAACATTCAAGGTATATGTCTAAATCTTCTTGATTTTTTGCTATTAGTGGCTATAACTTTGTTATTTTTGAATGGATTGTCTTCAAACTTGAACAACAATCTTTCAGGATAGGACCTGACTCACTCATAAATGTCCTTGAAGCTTTTGTGATCAGAAGTTGTACAGAATAATACAAACCCAGAGCAATTTCATTCACTTGGTTTTGCAACTTCTGAGAAAATGGATTTTAAAGATAGTTGTTTTCTTGAAATTTCAGGACAGTATAGTAGATAGTAAAGACATTTAATACATACTGTATATACACTATAATTACTATAGTATACTATAAAAATCTTTTATGCTTGGACAATTTTGAACAAATTGTTTCTTAAACAGTGTAAGAAATTAGGATTTGAATCGACTAGGCTGGTCGGACTACTAGATTGGAATATTCACTTGCCCAAAAGACATTTCACTAGCACGATTCATTTGTTCAAAACAGTTGTTTATATTGCCTCTGAAAATACAGTAGCCTGGTCGGGCTTGTTACTGTGAAAAGTTGATAGCCCAAGGAGAAATTTAGAAGTCGGGCCCTCGAACTACTGCTAATTTCGAACACTGCTTAAATTATTGATTTGATGTCAACTAACATAATTATTGGGATACTATATGTATATCTAATAATAATTATATTTTATGTTTCAGAAGTTCGGCCTACATGTCAGATTTATGAATGTGAACAGCAGGATATCGATTTTAAGGATGCTTTAGGGTCAATGACAATGAAATCACGAAAGATAAAGGCTAAAATGTGAGACTGTCAATCTGACTAACCTTGAAGTGAACAAATGGAAAAAATGTTTCTTTCAATAGCATGGGCTTTTAAGGAAGAGGTACATGATTATTTAGAAGTATTTGTATATGATATTTCTTAATTATTATATTCTAATAGCTTTTTTTTTCTTGATTTGTTTAAAGGCTGACACAGGACAGTTTATTTTAAGTCGGTGAGCTTCGGTCACTGGATAGACTATTGTCACAAAAAGCCAAATTTATAAAAAAAAGAATTACAGTGTATTTAAATATCTTATACAAGAAATTAGGAACAAAATTAATAGCAAGAACAATTGTGACATGTGACATGTATTTAGGAATTCAGCTTTCTTTTCCTTTTTACCTCAGGACATTTCACATTAAAATATTGAATATTCACAGTAAGCAGTGTTAGCACTCCGACTTATCTGACATTTATGATCATCTTATCATCACTTAGCTGTCTATAGCTTATCAGAATCACTCACATTTATGAATTTAAATAATTTTGAAAAAATTGCTGCTTAGCAAATAGATAAAATACTTGGGGTGTCTGTGACTGATTGGTTTAGTTTCTTGACTTTAAACCTTTAAGCCTTTCACTGCTGTAAGTTCGAGCTCGGCAAGGGTTTACAAGTGGAATTTTAACTTTGCAATTAACTTTTTCTAAACAAATATTTCAGGTAACAGAGGCGCTTATATGATAGAACAGTAAAAGCAGGAGTGATAATGAAAGATACATGTAGATGTGTCTTCATGTCGGAAACACTAAAGAAATGGAAATATTGTGGTTTTATCAAACTTAAAAGAAATTGGAATACCAGGAGACTGCCTGCCCTTTGCAATGTTGGATAAAGAGTTCTTAGATGTGATGTCGAATGCCTCATGAAGCCCATGACTTAATCTAATTAGAAAAAGAAATGACATTGAAGAGAAAACTAGTCACCAGTCTTTCACCAAGAACTAGAGATAACTTTCCAATATTTGAAATATCATAATATGAGCCGCGTCATGACAAAACCAACATAGTAGGTGTGCGACCCAGCATGGATCCGAACCAGCCTGCGCCTCCGCGTAGTCTGATCAGGATCCATGCTGTTCGCCATCAGTTTTTCTACTTGTAATAGAGTTTGTAAGCGAACAGCATGGTCCTGATCAGACTGCGTGGATGCGCAGGCTGGTCTTGATCAATGCTGGTCGCAAACCCATTATGTTGGTTTTGTCATGGCGCTGCTCATATGTATAGAACTTTATTGAGCCACCAGTTTTTTCACCAGGAAAATAAGATCACTTAACTATTTTTAGCTCACCTGTCACAAAGTGACAGGGTGAGCTTTTTTGATCGCTTTTCGTCTGGCGTCCGTTCCGTAAACTTTTACTTTAAATGACATCTCCTCATAAACCACTAAGCCAATTTCATCCAAACTTCACAGGAATGTTTCTTTGGTGGTCACCTCTAAATATTGTTCATAGAACACTGGTTGCCAATGGCAACCAAAAGAAAAAAACTTAAAGTATTTTCCTTTAAAGAACCCAAAGAGCTAGAGCTTAGACAAAGTATCTTCTTTTAAAGGTATGAAACATCTTCTAGTGAGTGTCTACCAAGTTTGTTCAAATAAAAGCCCTGGGGTCAAAATTGGCCCCTCCCCAGGGGTCATTGAATTTCCCTATATGCATATAGTAAAAACTTAAAAAAATCTTCTTTGAAAAAACCAAAATAGCTAGAGTTTAGATATTAAGCATGAAACATCTTCTGGTAAGTGTGTACAAGGTTTGTTCAAATAAAAGCCCTGGGGTCAAAACTGGCCCCGCCCCAGGGGTTTCATTGTTTTTAACTATTTGTGTAAAGTAAAAACTTAAAAAAATCTTCTTTTAAAAAACCCAATGAACTAGAGCCTAGATGTTTAGCATGAAACATCTTATGGTGTCGACCAAGTTTGTTCAAATTTAAGCCCTTGTATAAAAATTGGCCATGCCGGGGTGGGTGGTGGTGCAGAGGTCTTTGTTTTACATCATATGTGTGTAGTAAAAACTTAACATCATGAAACATCTTCTAACGGGTGTCTTACAAGTTTGGTCAAATAAAAGCCCTGGGGTTTAAACTGGCCCCGCTCCAGGGGCCTATATATATACATGGCCCTCTTGTTGAAATATGTATGAACAAATCTTTATCAACTTCAAGCTTTTATTGAAGGTATTTGAAATAACTTGGCACAAATGATTGTTATAATAAGACAATGAGTCATGTCAACAACCAGACCCCTACCTCCAGGGTCAAGGTCGCACTTGCTCATTCAAGGTCAACATTGTCTATTTGAAAGTATATCTCGTGTCCGGTCTATAACTTTCCTATCTCTAAAGGGATTTTGTAAATACTTGCCACAATTGCTCACAATAATGAGAAGATGTGTCATGCTCAACAACAGGTCACCTGCCTCCAAGGTCAAGGTCACACTTGGAGGTCAAATATTAGCACAGCCTGTTTACAGGGTATATTTCGTGTCCGGTCCATAACTTTGTCATTTATTGAAGGAATTTGAAATAACTTGGCACAAATGTTTGTTATAATAAGACGATGATGTGCAACAACCAGACCCCTACCTTCAGGGTTAAGGTCACACTTGCTCATTCAAGGTCAACATTGTCCATTTGAGGGTATATCTCGTGTCCAGTCTATACCTTTCTTATCTTTGAAGGGATTTTGTAAATACTTGCCACAATTGTTCACAACAATGACATGATGTGTCATGCGCAACAATCGGTCACCAACCTACAAGGTCAAGGTCACACTTGGAGGTCTAAGATTAACATAGCCTGTTATAGGGGTATTTTTTTGTCCGGTCCATAACTTTTTTTGTATATCAAAGGATTTTGAAAAAATTGGCACAAATATTCACTATAATAAGACAATGTGTCATGCGCATCACCTGCATCCCTACCTCCAAGGTAAGGGTCACATTTCGAGGTAAAAAATTAACATTGTTTTTTTTAAAGGGTATATATTGTGTCCAATGTAGAACTTCTTCATAGTTCAAGGGATTTTGAAATAACTTGGCACAAATAGTCAAAATAATAAGACGATATGTCAGTTACAACACTTGCACCCCTGCCTCCAAGGTCAAGGTCACACTTAGAGGTATAAAGGTAACAAAGTCTGTTATATGGTATATTTTATGCCCCGTCCATAACTTCTTCATAGATGAAGGGATTTGGAAAATACTTGGCACAAGTAGTCACAATGATAAGATGATATGTCATGCACAGCACCTGCACAGCTACCTCCAAGGTCAAGGTCACACTAAGAGGTCAAAGCAGGGATTTTTTCCAGGATTTTGGGAAACATAACCCATACCCATGCAACTGGAATTTAGCGATATTTTTGTTAAAATTGGGAAAAAATGCATGACTGAAAGTTTGCAGTGATTAAATGTATGCAAGCAATCACTGCCTAGGATGGCTTCTTCAAACATTTAAACACTATTACAGTAAAGAAGCCCTTATTTTCAAAGATTTTAGAATTCTTTATTCAATATTTATATTTTTGTAACTTTCAATTGGGAATATTTTCCTTTGGATTGGGAAAATAATATTCTATTTTCAATTGGGAATAACGGCTATAAAATAAGCCAAAAAAATCCCTGCAAAGTGTAACATGATATATTTTTGAAATTCAGTATTTCATTTTATTTCTTTAATAAATTTATTGTTGCATTTGCAGATCTAGCATTGATCATATTTTGGACTGAAAATCCTTAGATCCCTGCCTCAATCTTTTGAAATAGCACAATTTTTTGCTTCATATAAAACTTCCCTGAGGCGGGGGACGTTGGTATCTCTGTTACAAATTCTTGTTTATTTTACCAACAAGTGTTCACTTTCAAACTTTTGATCATTGTATTTTTTGCACTACCTTTTGTGTAATGTTGTATTTTATTTATGTTCTTATTTTAAGATTAGCATGGCCAACTCATGAAAGTCCAAATGATGGTCAACTTTTTTTATGTTTTTTTTGTTGTTGTTTTTTTTTTTAACATTATTTACTTTATTTTTACAGTGTTCCTCTGAATCATACATTCTGTTTTAGTTAAACATGCACTTCTTGTTACTTATTTTCCCATACTTCATATTACATTGATCACGGTTTGATGTGATGGCTCATAAAATTATAAAAATATCATTTCTTTGTACTTTACCTAGTAAAATATGAAAACAGAAATGCTCTTGTAAGCTAACCTGTTCTATGTTTATATGCCCATGCCATTTAAAGAATGGTGACAGGGCATTAAGTGTTACCCTGTCTGTCAGTCCGGTCAGTATGTGAAATTTCCACTGAAATTTTAGTTTCCAACCAATAAGATTTGTACACCTTTTAAGGATTCAATTTATAACTGGTATATTCAACAATATATCAAAACACAGGTCCAGTATGATTTCAGTTACATTCCACAAAATTTATACAACATTATGCCTTCCTTACCAAATCATATGCAAAAAATTGATTTATAACTGATAATATTTGAATGCTTTTGAAATCTATAAAGATTTTTCATATAGTTCTGGACAAAAATTTAACAGTCTTTAGTGAGTTGGAGTAGTATGAAAAATCAGGTGTCTGTAAATCAAGGTCACTACTTTGGATCAAAAGTCAAATAATAACTTAAAACGTGAGAGTATATTTCTATATACATGGCTGGATTTACATAACATTTATCACAAATGTTCACTTACGTATACATCTTTCTCCCCAATCTGAAGCTTTAAGGTTCAGTTCTGAATAATGGCAACAGGCTTGATATATGCTGCCAGTGGGCTTGTCTAATTATGTACATATTTTGATTACCCACTCAATATAAGCATTGTTCTTAACGCAGGCATTCAAGTCCTATGGGCACATTTCTACTTTTGACTATATTTTGTTGTATAATGTAAGTCTTGTATGTAAAAAATCCTTAAAACAGCACCTCCTATATTACTGGCCGTTTGCATTAAAGCTTCTTTCATTCAGATTGTTATAACTTGTGTCACGTCAATATGTACCAATAATTTAAAGGGACTCAGTCCATTGAGGTTTAAAAGCCTAAAACATAACATTTGAATTTCTACAGAAATGAGCCGGGGCACTTGATACAGAAATATATGCACAGATAGTGAAGAAATATACTTTGAAATAAATTGAAAATCATTTTTTTTATGCTTTTCTCAGCCTGATCTGCGTGAAATGTGTTTAAACGCTTTCATTTTGGGTCACTTTTTTACAATTTGAATAATTATTCTTGAAAAAGGAAGTGCGCAAATGATCTGAAATTTTTCTCAAAGATTAGTGGTCAAAACATACATCAAGTGGTACATTAATCTAGAAAAATAAATTTCAGTCTCATCATGTCAAAAAACCTCAGTGGAGTTCCTTTTACACATTTTATCTGACAAACTAAATTTCATTATCTCCATATATTTAATCATTTATTTTTTATATCACATATATTTTTACTTTTATGCAAGTTTTGACAATAAAAGTTTTTTTAAATCATTGTTCTTTGTTTTGCTATGACTTTAACAGCATGTACATCAATTTCATACTAAAACACAATTAGTTATGTTTGAACTTACAAATGTAAGCACATGAAGAGCTTTTCTTGTCCTTGAGTTTAAAATAAAAAGTCTTTTCATTAACTATGATTAAATAATGCTTATGGCATGGTCTTTGAATTCCTATGAATAGTTATATAAGTCATGGCCCGATTAAGGTCAAACTGATGTGTTCTTTGTGTTCATAAATGCAGTAGTATTATCTATTAATTCACTTATTACTATATTAGTAACAGAATTGCCTATGATTTCAACTGATTATGAGTGTCACAACTTATGGGTTTGGGCCCTGGGCCCAAAGAACTAGTTATCAGCCCACTGAACATGAGTAGTGCAAAAACGGAAACAATGACGTCACATTTTACGTCATCAAATCAGCAAGCTGTAGATTGAAGCTTGCACCTGTTCCTTTGTTTTTAATTCACACGCATTGGGAATTTCTATGAAAATTTCCTTCCAACAGTACTTTCAGTGCTTTGATGAAACTATAGGAATCAGTTGAAGCGCTTCATATCACTGTCTGTTTTCTTTTATGTGTTTTTGTCGACTGAAGTTTCCAAAAGTTAATCAGCATTTACGGTTCTTATTCGGAATATTTTGCTTTTTCTCTCAACATTTTGAATTTCTTTGGATGCTACCTTTGCTTCGAAGTATGTTTCTTCATCGAAAAAATATCCAAAAAAGGTTTCAAATTCAAAATCTGCGGATCAATTTTCTGCTAAAATATGATAAACAAGATAAAAGGAAAGGCGGCGTTCAATGAACGCAAAGTCTTCATTGTTAATTTATAATAGCAGACGGTTAAAAAGATTATTTTGTTCAAAGTTTGATATTAATTATTATTATCATATATATTTATATTAATAATTCATATAGAAAATTATTGTTTTTATGAATATTAAAGGGAAGTAATAACTCGAATAAGGAAGGTTAGTAAAGTCCGGCAAAATGATAAAAATAACAAGATGTTATTTAACTGTTTTGAAATAGTGAATTATGAATTTTAAAATCACTGATAAATAAGCAAAAAATATTATTAAATTTTCAATGAATGCCTTGAAAGTCTTCTTGAAAACGTATCCTCTTGATTTTATGCCGATTGTAACTGTGGTTGGTTATATTTCGGCGATCAAATCCGTTTCACAGGTCCTAGATAACTGTTGTTACCTGTTCCCGGTTACATATTCAATATGATTTCTGAATTAGCGGTGAGAGACAAATGACCATTCAGCTTAACTTGGTCTATTATTATATCGCCCAGCAACCCCTAAATAACGTAGTTCCCCATATTGAGCTTATGAAAATAACACATAAGCATATACTTTGACAGATACGACATCATTTCTACATCCCGGGGCCCGTAGTCTTTTTTCCGAATCATGTAACGCATTTGAATTAGATATGCGTCTTTTATATTCAACTGATACTATGCATTTTGCAATTTAAGTTCTTTAAACTTCGTCCTATCCTATGATGATTTTTCTTTATCTAATTAACGAACTAGTGTTGTGATAAGTGACAATTTCTGCTTTAATTCGGGACCACTCATCAGGAAAACCCCGTTCATGTCCTTGTGCCCTCTTCTGTTTTAAATGTTTATTGAAAATAGAGTAACGCTCAAGCCGGTGCTAGACAACGTGAGGGATGTTCTATCCTTTTTTATCCGTCATGTTCTCTATTAAACCGAATCTGCAATTTTCATGTAATTATGTCCCTGCTTACAGGTGAGGACGGTAGTATGCAGTTACCGTCAATAAATTGGTTCAGTTAAAACAAGCTTACAACAATTGCAATTTTGCTGTTTAAGGGCGTTTTAAAAGCAGCACGCCAACAGATTCATGTTAATTTTCATGAAAAGTTTGGAAATGTATTTAAAAGTAAAATATTTTGAGGTGAATAAATAAAGCAATAAATATATTTCAATCAGCACTTACAATCCAAGTAAATTACCAAAAAATGGTCAACATATGCAACCCTCATGCGTTAGTAAGGCAGTAGAAATATGGCACGGTGATAAAATGCTGCAAAATCTGTCCTAAAATAGATAAATACAGAATCCCTAAAGAAAGCCCAACACGGCAAAATTGAAAATGTTGAAGGCTCGGTTTGATTGAGCCTGTTCATGTACGGTACTAACCAGCACAGGCAGCTTAAAGGGATTGCGTTTTCTTTATTTTTATTATACTGCCGACTGACAGGTTTTATCACGTGATATGCTTTGCCATTTTCTATTATTTCTCATTAACAAACTCAATAAAAAATCTTGCCACTTCATTTAAACGTGTTTTTGTTTCCATTACAAATTTTATAAACTTTTCAGCAACAGGTGTCAAGCGCCGTGTGGCAGCTATAAAGTTGCCTCACATTCACCTCAGTGTTGCTTTCTTTCTATAATTCTTCGGGATAATTGATTCTAGCACATAAAGTGTTGAAGTTTGAAAACCGTTTTAGCCTGTCCTTTGAAGATTTCGTTATTTTCAATAACGCCTGTTTTCAGATCATTTTGTTTTACAAAAAAAAAATACATCTGTTGTTTCTACATATATATGTATGCTAATGGAAGCTTGACTGCATTCTAAAAAAACCCAAAAAAAAACAAAAACAATCGTAATCGTTAAAGGAAGTCACTCTTTCATCACAACTGAAAGAGCCAGAATACATTTGTTCAAGCTTAACATCTG